CTACATGTACACAATTACCTCACAATTACCTGCCTAAATTCTAACTTTCATCAAGCATGTCTAAAACATAATTAATTTTTATCCTACGCTTGCTGTTTCTCCTGTATTCCCTATTTTGTCAAACCATACCACCAGCCACTCCAATGATGACACACAGTGCCCCGGTAGCTTTCTTTGGGGAATTTCGACAGTTAATTGCAAACATGAACTAACTACTGCAGGGCGATTTCTTTCGTGATATGTGACCTACTCCTTGAAGGCAAGGGTAGAGTCCACAAAGAACTGCCCATTTCAGGCCCATCCGTTTTCGTAATACTGTTTATGATGGAACTATTTCAGGAGTCAAGATGTCTGATGTCATTGACGAAAAGCAGTGAATAATTATAAAAAGGAGTTGTTTTCAAATGTGGAAATCACAATTATCCAGTAATCTAAGTAGTAAACTAATCAAAGGTACTACTGGCATCAAGGCTGCTACTAACCGAGAACAAGAGCACTGCAGGGATGAGTTATTGCTCTGAGAATCAAATCTGATGCATAATCCATCCACATAGGATGTTCCCCCAAAAAACACAATACATGAATTCTCAAATGCTACCAGTTGGTCACTTGGCTGAGGATTTTCTTCTTTTTCAGTTGTTTTGGATGTTGGCTCTCAGATGGAGAGGCGACACCTTCAGACCTTTTGTGACCTGTGTGACCCTACTCCACTTCACACAAGCAGACTTCAGTAGGTCCCTTTGTGCTCTGCATAGGAGCTGTGCTAGGATCCTACCTCTCTGCAGCTGGAACATCCAATCTGTTTCTGTGGGAGCTTTAACTGCAGTAATAATCGTTCACGGAAGGCTTGAATGCTAGGAATATCTCGATATGTCACATATCCTGGCCTTTCATTTTCTCAGACAACTGCTGAGCACAATCCTTAACTAACTCATCCAATGTATCTTCCATTACCGATAAGTCAGAATATTCCTCCTGTAGCTATTTGTTGGGCTATTGCTCCAAAGTTGCTACAATCAGATCCTACCCACCAAATATGGTTCTTAGATTTTTTTTCAACTAGGTTGATTCCATCTAAGACATTGGTGATGTCACGTACTCTTAATTTTTATACTCAGTTTTCTCACAATCTTGTTTAAATAAAAAATACCCCCATGAACAGATCTGACAAGATCCCTAAATTTTCTAGTTAAATAAACCAGTGATACATCAAAACAAGATCTCTTCACTTTTAGAGCTTCCTCAGCCAGAAAAGCACCTTACTCGGAACCTTCATGAAGTCCCACTCAGTTGAAAGACTACTGGTGGTGACTCTGGGAACAAAAGCACATATTTCATGACATGTGTCTTCTCTGTGGAGCCCACTCCTCCAATCTCATGGACACGTATTATACATTATCTTCTAAATTATTCCTTATTTTTGATGGCAGCAGGCTCTTCAGGTTGATGGGGCTTTGGTACAGGGGGCAAATCATCCTCTTCTGCTGGGTCCACGAGAAGGCTGGGCAATTTCCTCGGGCTGCTGCTGACTCACGCTGCCCCACCAGGTGACCCTCGCCACTCACACCCCATGAGCCCTCCTTCCTGCTCCTGCCTGGCTCACCTGCTGCCCCCAGCATGCCCATTTCCAGGGCCCCTCAAGCAGTGGTCCTCTCCTGCTCCAGGGAGAGCTCCCGGCAGACTGTGGGGAGGAGGTGACCAGAGGTCTCAGGACACCAGGCCCGCCATCCTCCCGCTACACACTTTTGAAGCTTTACAACAATTTTATGAGGTAGGTATTATCACTTTCTTTTCCCTTTTCCTTTTTTTTTTTTTTTTTTTGAGACAGAGTCTCACTCTTTTGCCCGGGCTAGAGTGCCGTGGCGTCAGCCTAGCTCACAACTCCTGGGCTCAAGTGATCCTACTGCCTCAGCCTCCTGAGCAGCTGGGACTACAGGCATGCGCCATCATGCCTGGCTAATTTTTTCTATGTATTTTTAGTTGTCCAATTAATTTCTTTCTATTTTTAGTAGAGACGGGGTCTCGCT